TTTTCTGAAAAGAACGAAATTATTTTAGTTGATTATAACAATTAATAAATTACACATTCATCTTATAACATATTTGTAACAAATCTGTAAAAATTTTTCATATACAAATAACAAGACATATCTGGTAAAATTTTCTCTGAAAATTAAAATCATTTTTGATGTCTTTTTATATAAAAAAATAAAATGACCATTATCTACCTATTTTTATTGTTGATTTTCATTTATGATTGGAACAACTTAATGATTATTCATAATAACGTAAATCCGTTGAAAATAAATTACCTGAACTATTTTTATTACAATATCTAGTTTTTTTGTTATTAGAACAACTTAATGATTATTTATAGTAACGTAAATCCGTTGAAAATAAATTACCTGGACTATTTTTATTACAATATCTAGTTTTTTTGTTATTAGAACAACTTAATGATTATTCATAATAACGAAAATCCGTTGGAAATAAATTACCTGAACTATTTTTATTACAATATCTTTTTTTAAACATATTCACCATTCAAATTTAAAAAACTTCTTTTTTAAAATATTAAAATAGCTATTTATTTGTATTAGCTATACATGTTACCAACGGTTCTGCGTCGGCTAGTGATTAGTAACATATTTTTAACATATTTGCTCTTTATATTTAGGAAATTATCTAGTATTAAAAAAATTTAAAAATATCAAAAGATTGCTACAATAGCTGCTTTAATAATAATAAAAATAAATAAAAAAAAGTTATTTAATAAATGAAAAATGTCTTTTTTGAATATTTTCAACAAGAAATACCTTATCAATAAAAATAAATTTTTAAGATAAAATTTAGTAAATCATACTTTAATTTAATAAATTATATTTATCAGTGTTTAGGGCACCGCTCTATCACTTAGATTTTTTTTACATATATATTTTTTTAATATTCATATCAAACTCATCATGTTGTTTAAAAAAGAAGGAAGTAAACTATGTTTAATAAGTAGACTATTTAAAAATTGTAAAGTTTTGTCTTTATATTTATTATGAAGAGAATTCTACTATGATTTTTATTTAATATTTATTTCAACATTTTCATATTAAATTATCACAACTAGTTTAAATATAAAACTCTGTCGAAACTTCAACTGTCATTAAATTCAGCGCACTGGCTTTTAAGCGAGAATTCCTTGTGCGGAATTCTCTCAAGGTATTACTTTCGTTAAAAGTTTTTGTTATAAATTATAAGTTTTTGTGCAATTCGCAAAAGGGAATTGCTTGTTTTGCAAGCGCTAATTGCTATTCTGATTTGCTTTGTGTAACAATCATTACACCTTCCTTCTTTTAAAAATGTATTTCGTAATCAATGTAATGTTTTGGCTTCCTCGAAATTCTTCCTGATCGCGTGACAATGTCAAGGTTTAATGATTCATTTTGATTTGTATTTGTATCAATGTTTGTGTTATTCGACAGTTTTCTTTTACCAATGAATATGTCTTCTGATTCATTCATATCGCTCTCATTGTCGGATAAATTGACATCTAAATCTACTTCTTCTTTTGTTTTTAGTAGATGTCTTCTGTTCTTCTAACAATATTTCCATTTAAGGTATTTACATTGAAACTTCGTTGCTGTTTGCTCTCAACAATTTTTCCTGGTTGCCATTTGTTTCCATCATGTATACGAACACAGTCTCCATCGCTTACGTTTTCAAATGTTTTTGCGTTTTTGTCGTAATATTTCTTCTGTAAGTTTTGATTACGTTTATTTACATCGATTGAATTTACTTGAAGTAGTGACAGAGAAGTAGGAAGTGCTGATCTCAATCTTCTTCCACTTATGAGCTGAGCAAGTGACTGTTGATACTGAGGGCTACTAGTTATATGTTAAACTCCCACTCTTTACTGAATTTTTGGAATTCTGAAGATGTGAATTCTGAAGATGTGCCGTTGTCGCTACGTACTATCTGCGGTATACGAAGTCTGGGGAAGATCATTTTTAGTTTCTTTATCACCGTTTGAGTTTGAATGTTATGTAACCTTTCAATTTCCCAATAACGACTATAACAGTCGACCACTATTATAAAATCTTGATTATTCCAGTGAAATAAGTCCGTTCCCACAATTTGAAATGGGTGATTTGGTATTTCGCTTGATATCATTAACTCCTTAGTTTGTTTTCTTGTGTATTCCAGACATGTTTCACACGACTTTACTAAATCTTCAATTTGTTTGTTAATGCCTGGTTTTTTCAATCCCCATGTGTATTCGATATAGTTTTTGAATTGTTGCTTTTCGCATTGATGTTGGAATTAAAATTCTTTGTCCTTTGAAAATTATTCCTTCTATGAGTGTCAGTTCCTTTATAAACGACCAATAGGGTTTTACTGAATCTTCAACCTTTCTTTTATCCTGCGGCCATCTATTTGTTATGCAGTTTGCTACTACATTTAACGCAATATCTTTGAGCGTGTTTGTTTTTATTTCTTTAAGGTTTTCTTCTGATGAACAGTTTGCGTAAACCATATGCACTTGAGCGATCATTTCATCTTCCGGAATTTCTTCTTCAGTTTCATTGGTATGAGCTCTAGACGTATCTGCCAGAATCATTTCTTTACCAGCTTTATAAATTAAATCAATATCATATTTTTGCAATCTTAATAACATTCTCTGAAGACGCGGAGGAGTGTTTGCTAACGACTTCTTCATAATATTTTCCAACGGTTTATGATCACTGTTAACAGTTACTTTTTTTCCATATATATATTGGTGAAATCGCTCACACCCAAAAAGTACTGAGAGAAGTTCTTTTTCAATAATTGCATAATTTAAGTGAGCTGGTGTCACTGACTTTGATGCAAATGCAATTGGTTTTTCATTTTGAAGATGTACTGCTCCAACACCAGTTTTGCATGCGTCTACTTGTATCGTTACAGATTTTTGAATATTATAGAATGCAAGACATTGTTCCGAACATAACAGCTTTTTAATTATTCTGAAAGATCGATCTTATGCTTCACCCCATGGCATCTGTGTTCCTTTTTATTTAGACTTCCATTGTGACTTACATCTTTTGTGCCCCATATTAGAATACCATCAATATCAGTTTCCACAAAATGAAGATCATCAAAACATTGACTAATTTTTTTATGAAACACTTCCTGAGCCGAATGTATACCATAAGGTAAACGTGTGAATCTAAATCTTCCAAATGGTGTATTCATCGTGGTTAACATAGAGCTGTTTTTATCCAGTGGAATTTGCCAATAACCTTTATTTGCGTCTAGTTTTGTGAAACTATTTGCACCATAAAGTCTAGTTAATATTTCTTCAAATGTAGGTAATTAATAATGTTCTCTTTTTATAGCTTTATTTAAGTCTCTTTGATCCAGACAGAGTCTTTGTTGTCCAATGATTTATTTTATTACATTTACGACACGTTTGACCGAATGCAGGACAGTTTCTTGGTTCATGTTTTCTGTTGCATTTCTTACACTGTCTTTGTTGTTGTTTTTTATTTGAGCCATTATTGATTTGGTTCCAGTTTTGTTTGTTCAACCCGGTTTGTTCAATTCGGTTTAACCCGGTCTTTGCCTTTTGACTCATTTTCGTTATTCGAGAACTTTCTCTATTTTGGTATTTGTCCGATTGACGCATTTGCTTGTCTTGGTTTTATGAATTTCTTTACTACGTCAATATCTTTTTCGTTTCTAATTTGTTTCATTTCTGCATTTGCAACTTCTTCAGCTCTGCATATGTCAATCGCTTTAGTTAAAGTTAAATCCGCTCCTTTTCTAAGTAGATTATTTTGGACTTTGTTTGATTTTATTCCGTCAATTATTTTGTATAATATCAGACCATCTTGAATGTTTTCAAACTCGCATGTTTGAGCCAAATTTTTTAAATCAATTAAAAAGAAATCAAATGATTCATTGACGTCTTGTTTTCGTAAGAAAAACTTTCTTCGTTCCAAAACCAGATTTCTTTTCGGTAAACAATTTGCTTCAAATTTTTCAAAAAGTTCTTTTACCGTGATGTCATCGATTTTACCGTCGTCATTTTCTGTTTTGTTCCAAGTCCATGTATTGAATATTTCTCTTCCTTTTCACCGATAATTAATAAGAATGTCGCGTATTTTTCTTCCTCAGATTTATTTGTCATTGCTGTTTTTAGATACAACTGCATTGTTTGTTTCCATTTTTTCCATGATACAGCTATATTGGATTCATTGAAGTCCATTTTGTTTGGCTTTGGCAAAAAGTGTTCTATTTTCTTTTTCTTTTTAAAATAAGTACTTTTCCAAAATCTCTTCTTAAAGTATATACAGTTCACTTCTGGTTCCATGTAATGTTTTGTCTTTATATTTATTACAAATAGAATTCGACTATGATTTTTATATAATATTTATTTCAATATTTTCATATTAAATTGTCACAACTAGTTTAAATATAAAACTCTGTACAGTTTCACGTCGAAACTCCAACTGTCATTAAATTCAGCGCACTGGCTTTTAAGCGAGAACTCCTCGTGCGAAATTCTCTCAAGGGAATACTTTCGTTATAAATTTTTGTTATAACTTATAAGTTTTTGTGCAATTCGCAAAAGGGAATTGTTTGTTATACAATCGCTAATTGCTATTCTGATTTGCTTTGTGTAACAATTATTACAAAAATAATGCAAAATTTTATTAAAACTCTATAATCTAAGAAGCTCCATTACTAAAAATCAAAATACCTAAAATCCTACCCACTTCCTCCCCTCTCCTCCTACTGGATGATGTGGGTCCACCCCTGTATTGACTCATTTAAAACGTTTTAAATAGACTGATGTAAAGAGTGATATTGCTTTTTAACATAAAAAAAAGTTGAAAAATAGAAGAGAATATTTTAAAAATAAAATAGAGTTTAAGATACATCATAATCAAGTAACTGTTTTTAAAAGACTTAAAAGTTTTTCTTTTAATTTGTAATTATTGTTTTACAACTGTTTGGGTAAAAAGTGTTTCACAAATGTGGCCCTTGCTATGTTATT